ATTTTAAATTTCTAATGGCCATTTGCTGTATTTCTTCCTCAGGCTCCTCTTCACGTATGGAAGTTGAACACTGCCAAAGCCATCGTAAGTAACAAATCTGTGTGGGACGCTACCAATTTATTGCCTCGGGAAACACTTCCAAACTCATATGTGAATCTTCTACGCATCGCCACTTAGCCTATGATGCAACTGTGAGCAGCCTCTCCACTTTGTTAACGGAATGAACCTTTCCTGACTGTTTGATTGTTGAGTTCGTTGATTCACTCATTTTTATGGGAGTGGGAGGCCAGATGGTATGAGACTTGGGAAAGGGGAGTGGCTGCCAACCAGAACGTGGTTCTTATACAAGTTCTTAGCATTTTACTACCATATATGATTTTCTTGATTGAAACATGAGTTAGTGTCATATCATATCGTGCGTTAAAGCCGCATTTTACGTGTTTGAAGCAATCGAAAGAGAGGCGAGCAGGGAGGGTGAACAAGTCAACACCTAGGAAGGGAATATGAAATGCTGCTAACTAGATAAAGGATTATTGCTTGCTTTCTTATTTTATAAACTATTCTTCACTTTGTTTATTGATCTTTCATGACGAGTTTACCAGTATAAGAGTATGTTCTATACCCCTCCATAGATCGGTAAGAGATAGTTGGCCATGAGTAATCTAACTGTTATTAAAAGAACAATATTCGAAAACATACAATGATCATGGTTATAGATTCATGTGGATCTCCTTGGAGTTCTGGCCTGGAGGAATCGACAACACCAGTTCATTTTTTAAATGGATTTCCTCTTTTAGTTTTTTTTAGAGTTTCTTGGAGAGATTTGAATAGCTTTTTTTGTCATGGTTGTCTGGCTCACTCTCCCTTTGTTTCCCTTCTTTTTCTCTAGGAGGAGAAGAGCTTGAAGCACTTGGAGTTTCTGCAACCAGCAACACTTCAAATTCTGATGACGTTCACGAAACTGTACTTCTCTGTCAAGGAGAAGGTGGGACATTGAAGCCTACCGGAGTTACCTTCCAAGGAACTGTTAGTACCATGGTTGCTCACAAGGTATCGAGTTCCCATTGAAGTCCTCAAGTTCATTGATCATAGGTGATGAGTTTTCTCCATTCATGCAATTTAGCTTTTCAGTAGACTCCTTGAATGATGCACATAATGAGAGATTTGCAAGTTAGGGAGTTTAGCGTACCATATTTGGGATTAAAGCACCAGTTTCCTGCCAATTTGGTAGGATTTATTACCTTATTACTGCACATGTCATTTGCCTTGAAATTTTGTTTTCAGTCATAGGGAATTATTTAAGATTCCAATAGCTTTCTAAATAGTATCCAGTTGGTGAATCTTCATATAGAGTTATTGTCTATTACTACTTGACTTCCTCCCCCTACCATGCTTGGAGGATGGGTTATTACATTCTCAATTTGGGTTTGTTTCTGAGTCTGGAATTGTTCTATGTAAATCCCATTGTGTGTCCTCATTATCGTGCTTTTATAGGAATGGGCGTTGAACGCGAGGTTCAGACAAGGAAGAAGTATTAGATGTTTCTTCGAATCACAACAACCAATAACGGAGACAAGAAGAGAGGCACATAAAAATGCAGCAAAGTTGGAAGGAGAACTCGCTTCAATAAGAAAGGCTCGAGACAATAAGGTTAGGTTTGTTTGATGTGCTTATTAATGCAATAGTATTTGACCACCTCTCCATGGATGGGTTTGCGCTTTCGTTTCCTCCCACTTTCGACATCCTTCTCCCATGTTAGTATGAAGAATTTTTTGGGTTTGTAAACTCGAAGTAATGAATAATTTGAATTGGAGTTTTTAACTGGCACTTCCTATTTGATCCTCAGATTACCAGTTTTGTTGATGGGTTGGTATGGATAAAATCTCAGGTTGGAAGGTAGCAAGAGATTGATAGAAGTATTTGAAGACGCTGAGTATTTTTAGTGCCATTTATGGTTCCTTATGTTGGTTAGTTGCTTTGGGTTATTGTTGATTTGGGTTGGATTTGAGATAAAGATTAGTTTATTGGTTGGAACATTTGTAGTTAGTTGATTAGTTGAACCATTTGTAGTTGCGATTCTCGATCTGCATTCTCGCTACTCATTTGACCTCCTCGCTAAAGCTTTTGTGTCATGCCTCTTGGTCGTTGTTTTGTTAGAATTATATAGTTACTTTTCTTTTTCTTGTTTGGTTTTGAATTCTTTGTTGGTGTTCCTTCAACACATGTTCATCCTTGGACTGAATGTGGCGATGTTATATACATAGCAGATAAAATCTTAGATAAAAGCTAATTTTTGTAGTTGGTGGGGAGGAAGAAATTTTATCCTAAAAGTATTTCTTATACGGAAATGATGGATCTCCTTCCATTCAATGTGGGCTACTGGTTTCTTATAAGAGATTATGCCTGCAACTTCCATTTAATAAATTTAGGTTGTCTCTGCCGGCTGTATGAGCAGCATATGATTTGCCATAGGTCCGTTACAGATTATATCTTTGAGAAATTTTAATTTTAGGTTTTCTGTGTTTGACAATAACAGGAATGAACAGTAGTTGACGTTGGGGTCTGTTTGGGTATCCGCACCAAAAATCCCTACCCTCACTTTCCTATCGCGCCTCAAGTAGAACTCCAGCATCTCGGACCCAACGAGATATCCGCCAAAGTGCCATCCCCCTACTCCTGCAGGTCCCTCAACATCACAGGCATGAGTTATCCGCTGAATTTCATACTAAGATCTATAGTCATTATATGTATGGTTACCCATATGGTGAGTTTATGGTTTCTCAGTCTAAGTTTCTCCACAATTTTGAGCTGAATGATGAGCTTCTCCCCTCTTTTTATTTGTTGTTTATAGCATTTTTCTACCTATTTTGGGTTTTCAAATTTGATTCAATCTCATTTCATCTTCGTTGATAGATTGGACGAGCTGGTCATGTATTCATGTACGTGAAGTACTTTTATTATATGGTTCGTTATTCTCAAAGTTGTGACTACATATACAAAATGCTAATAAAGTTCATTGCTTCACTAAATATAGTTAATTCCAGATGACTCATATGGTGCAACTTCATGGAACATATTTATATTTATTTTATTTTTGGCTAGGTGTTGCTGCCTTTTGTATTTCGGTGAACACTTCATCAATGAATTGGTCTTCAAGGGTGATGTTATTGTCCAGGTAACGTATATGCTTCATTAACATAATCTAGATTTGAAACTAGAAATAAAAATCAAAGGTCAAGCTAAGTTTGTTTTGTCAACCGAATTTTAGAATAAAAGAGCAAGCTTTGAAATAATTGGAAAAGTGACAGATGAGGATTGACTTGGTATAGTTTGGCTTTTCTTTTGCTACACTTGATGTTAGTTAGCATAAACATTTTACAAAAAATGTGTTGGTTGGTTCATTTGGTTATGAGGGCTGTGATCTATGATCTTCCTATTTTTTTTGTTCTCTCTAATTGCAGGGCATTGACTTAATGGTATATCAGGTTCATAAATCCTCTAAACCTTTTAGTGGTCAAGTTAGAATTGTTATTTATTGGTACAGAGTTGACGTGTACGTTGAGTTTCGGTTGGGGATGAGTTTCTGCTGTAGAGAAGAGAGTCATGATGTTGGAACTACTGTCGTTACTGCTGTTGATTCCAATGCGCCCTGCTTCTCCTTCTCTGCTTTCTCAGTTTCATTTTTTTTGTTACGATTGTCGGTTTGTCGATCTGTCTCTTACCTCTTTCTTATATCACTAGATTCGAAGTAAAAGTTTGCTTATTTGGTGAAAGGGTGGTCAGGGGTGGTTGCTGAATGTCGTCGTTTCTCTTTACTGTTGGGTACAGTCGATGAAATTGTATGATCAAAGGTGAGATTTGTTCTTAGAAAAATTGACTGATCAGATTTGGCCTGTACTTTGATTTAGGATGGAGTGTTTACTGGCCGTTTTTAGCTATGTCTTACTCATATGTTGTGTTTGTTGCCGGTTTTGTGCCATGTTAAAGTCTTCCCTTCTATGTTATCTGGATCTTGCGATGCTGCTCAAAGGAAGTTTCGCCATAATGTAATTGATTTGTCAGTTGTCACCATTGCTAGACTTGATTTTTGACTTTTTGATGATCTTTTATGGTTGCTGGTCCTTGAAAATGAATCTCATTATATGTTAATCGATGATTTTTTACTTTCAAATATCTCATATTCCTGTTACTACTTGAGTAGTGTGAGATTGCAGATTTGAAGCTCCCGAATAATATGGTTTGCTTCTTTTCCCTCTGCCCAAACTATCTTTTCCCTCAGCACAATTCCTCTGTTTTGGGTTGCTTTGGAGGTTCAAGTATTTCAACTAACCATCGTTTTTAGACTATATTTGCAGCTCATCGGATGCTTCACTTCTCCTCATTTTGAGCTATAATATATAAGAAGCAGATAATTCTCTTATTTTTGTTTCAGTCTTCTACAAAGAGAAAAGTCATATAGCTGGGGACTGAGATTAGGAATGATTGGAACTTCATTGGACAACAAGAAATGTTGTGTTGAGCAGATTTAGCAAATTGAAGACATGTAAAGGCATGAAACTTTTTGTGTTATTTCGTATTTTACTGAAGTTTTCTTTGGTGGACGCCTCATCTCTCAAAGTATAATCCTTGATTCTACTTGGGTGATCAAATGAAAAGATGTATTGCACGAGTTTCAGGCCTCACTACTGTATAGGTTCTTTCATATTGGCACCCATTCAACTTTCCACAAATTAAGTTAACAATTGGATCCATTCATCACAGGTTCTTATGTTTTAGCTGCATTTCAAATGATTATTACCGACGTGATCACTTATGGTAACATATTGATCTTATTACATGAGTAAACTATTCATCATCACATTTCTTACTAAACCACACAGTTTGGCCTAAAGAATACTCTACTACAAAAGTCCCGGCGCGAAGCGCGGGCTTGCATTCTAGTATATATATATTTACACAGAGATCTGCGTATCTCACTTTCTCTATACATGGAGAGGACAATGTTGGCAGCAGCTGTGGCTACGTGTATACTGATACTGGGAGCCCTGCAGCAGACTACTACTGCTCAATCTGCATCCACGGTTGAGCGGTCCGACCACATGTGCGGCAAATATCACGACGGCTCATGGGCTTATTGCGACAAGGGACGATGTTGCAGTAATAAACACTACTGCGGCGACGACTGGGAGCACTGCAACCATGGTCATTGTTGGTACCAATGTCATGAGGTTGCATTTCCTCCTCCTCCATTTGCTTCTGTTGATCCTCAAAGTAATCATGATGAAGTAGCTGATCAAACGGCAGGAGGAGGAGAAGCACGCGCACCTCTTCTACTTAACGCTACGCTTCATGACCTCTACTTGAATGGTGATCATGATGATAATGAATATGATCTCGTGGAAGTGCGGCCCCGCGCCAATATTGCTTCTTCTTCTTCTTCTTCTTTCTCGTCGCCGTTATCGTGTGCAGCTTCTCTCTCCCGCCTGCCTCTAGCTTCTCGTCACAAGTATCCTCTTGCTGCTCTACGCGCCCCACGGTCTCGAAACATGAATGCTTCTGCTACTCACTGCGGACGTTGTTTGAAGGTGATCTATTGTTTCTCCGATCTGTTGCGTTTGTGTTTTTTTATGAACTAGCGGAAACAAAAAAATTGGATTTTATACGCGTATAATACAGGTCACGAGTTTTGGAGTTGGAGGACTTCCTAATCAAGTAAAGGTCCGCATTGCTCACGAGGATATCAACCAGTTGGGACTTGAATTAGATTTCAGTACTTTCAGACAACTAGATACAGATGACAATGGAATTACTAAAGGTTGTATCTTGGCGATGTATCAATTTGTCGGCTGTTAAAAAGACATGTACGTGTTGTTAGACTGAAGACTTCAGCAAACAAGGAATCCTAACTGGCTACTTCATCATGATCATTAGGGTAAGGAACCTCATGACATTGGTACCAACAATAAATATCGTTACAGTGCTCCCAGTCGTCGCCGCAGTAGTAGTCGGTACCGCAGCATCGTCCCGGGCCGCAATAAGCCCATGAGCCGTCGGGGTATTGGCCGCACTTGTGGTCGGCCCGCTCAACCGTGGACTCAGATCCAGCAGTACTCTGCAGCAGAGCTCCCAACAGTACTATCACCACTGAACACGTAGCCACAGCCGCTGCCAACATTCTTCTCTACTCGATATGATGTTTGATATTGTAGCTCGTACCACATAATTCATATATATAGATAGCAGTGGCGTGGAGTTGGGATATGTCATGTGGGTACGTTTCTTTTCTAAGAGCTGTATATTTTTAACAAATCTGCTAAGGTATTGTTTGTATCTTTTTGGTGGTCAAAGAAGGGCAATTGTTGTTGTGTGTCCATCTTCTACATCACAGAGACCAATCGTATCCAGCTCATTTTGGGAATCAGCCGGGCCCTAGCTTGTCGTTTCATTTCAACTAGTTGTTGTCTTTTTTATTTCTATATATTACTTATCGCCATTCATGGTGGCACACCCGAAGTTTCTTTTTCTGCAGTGTAGGAATCTTCTTCATCATACCCATCCAAAAAAAAAAAAAAATTACTTGTTCATCATAATTTTAACACCCTAACCCTGTCAGTGTCAGGTAATACTTTTACTCAAATTTCCTTTTAAACCGTTAACAAAAATAAAAACCGGAAAGACTTGGAAAACAACGGTGAACTGTTCTAAATATCCTTAAGAAATACTTAGCATTAAATACTTCGAAAAGAAGCGGAAACGTAACATATTAAATAACACTTAGAACATGAACAAACTTGAAAGAAACCCATCCCTTAATGTTTGATAAGTTTTCCAAAGTACAGGGGCATGTTTGATGTAAAAAATAGTTGAGGGGCATGTTTGATAAAACATCATAGTAGAGAAGCATATTATACCTATAACCCTTTTACTTAAGTCTATCATGCTTACCCAAACTCCACTTATCCTTTTATGCCAAACATCCTAATGATGAACTTTGCGCTACCATTATTTTTTTATTGTTGTTCAAGATTTGCCACTGTAGTCTCAACTCATATGCTATTAGAAAGAAAATTTGATATATCACCGGTACTTATTGACTCGCCACTGTTAGTCTCAACCGAATTGATATTAGAACTAAATAAAAGTGAACTTGGAAATCATTAGTACTTATTGACTTGCAATTGCAAACTCAAATCAATTCCTCCCAAGCATTCTGTTTAATTTATCAATATCGATTTTCTCCTTTCGAGTTTTAAGTATAGTTGTGCCCGGACAAAATGTGGTGTCTACAGGTACCTCACGCTCTACATGGCTGTGGGGCACCAACCTTCTTAAATCCAGGGGTGGGGATCCATAACCTCCTTACAACCCAGGAGTGAGGGTCCATGACCTCCTTACAATTCAGGAATGGGGATCCATACATAAAATACTCACTCACTATGAGGAGTGAGGTGATCGTGTGCACACTACAACAAAACTAGCCTATAGTGGCTCATAATTGAGGCAGAAGTTGTAATTGCCTCTAAAAATACCTTTTAAACTACATATATTGAATTTGCCTCTACAAGTACTATTATTTGCCTCTAGAAATTGTCTATATACAACAAATATAATTTGCCTCTACAAGTATTATTAACTGCCTCTAGAGAATGTATATATACAACAAATATAAAAGTTGCCTCTATAGCTATTGAATTCTGCCCCATAGCAATTGTGGGCTTCTTGCTGGTGGGAGCTCGAGCGACTCATTTTATTTCCCCTTTAATCGATTTTTTGATGAGCCCGAAATCGGGTCTCAAAGGATCAAAGTCGCGCAGTCAGCTAGCTTGGTCAAGAATTTGATCTCGAACGAAAAACAGAACTCGACCCTAGCTTGGTCAAGCTCTCACAAACTCAATTTCGGATGGAAACGAACGGGAACCCTGACACCTGGAAGGATGCACACTCGTTATGAGGAAGCTTTCGATGCAATCGATGGCGATTCTCGATTGATAAGCAAGGTTCAGCAAGTTTTTGATCGCAACCAAAAACCAATCAAACTCACAAACTCTCAAGTTTGGGAATTGGGGTAAAATTCATTCAATCGTATTCTGCCTATTACAATGCGAACTAAAGGGCTTTATAGCCAAAGAAAACCTATTACACTTCTAAGCTAACAAGGAAACTAATTAGAACAGGAAAAGGTTAAAGAATTCTTGTACAACAAGGTAACTTAATGGCCATGAAACTGACTTAAAACGCAAGCAAGTCTGCCTGGAAAAACAGGCTTCATAGTGTCTTTGAGGCCTTCCACAATGGTCTTCTAGAGGTATCCGAACTCAACCAATTCCTTTCCTTTGAAGAAGAACACTTCCTCTTTGACCTCCAACTTGAATCAGCCTAAACTCATACTCCAAACTCCAGATATAGGCCTTTAAAGTTGGCATCTCGGAACAGCTTTCTGCCTTAGCCAAATTCAGACAGTTCTCCTATTTTGCAGTAGCCTTTTGATGAGCTTTGAAAACAACGTTCCAGACCTCCCCTTGAGCTCCACAATACACCAACGTAAAGATAATAACTTTATCTTCAAAATGACACTTTGCACTCGAATTTCTATTGAACCATTTGGGAGTCGCAAGCTGCCAAAAATGGTATCCTGCAACACCAAAAAGACGGCCAAAATTCCCTCTCCTTACCCGTGATTGATCTAGCTTCTTGATCGATCTTGGGGGGTTTGGAATTCAAGGGATTTGGGATCATATCATTTTTTGTTTTTTTTTTCTTGTTTTGGGCTGGAACGCATGATTTCAAAATTCCCTTTTTGATGAAAGAGTCCCTTTTTAAGTGGTGATGAAGAGTCCTTTGACTCCACCGACTAAAGAAAATGAGAAGCTAGATCTAGAAACTCTCCTCTTCGCTCTCCCCTCTCACCACCACTTTCTCATCCTCTTCGCTAACTCCTTGCCTATTCGTGTTTTTGCAATCATCCCGGCGCCAACTTCGTCGCAGATCTAGGAACAAAGACGACAAGATTGAAGTTGCGGCTCGGCCGTTACTTGTCGATTTAGGGTTGAAATCGTAGATTTGGAGTGCTAAGGTTTGACGCTAGAATTGGGGATTTTTCAATCTAGGTTTCTATTTGTTCATCCTATTGTGGCGGTGGCGGCGGGTCGCGTGGGACTGTCGCTAGTGAGGAACTTGTATGGTCGTTGATTGTAACAGTGGTGATAGAAGCAGGAGCCTGAGGAGTGAAGAGACGGTGACAAGATGGGGATGTGGGTTTTGTCCAGCGAGGACTGAAACATGGAAGAGCATCACCCGGTGTGAGAGACAACGGCATCGAAGGAAGAGGAAGGCGTCTGCGACGATGGCAGGGAGAAGAGTTTGCAACAAAGAAGAAGACGAAGGCGACTGGCGTGCAAGATCCACAGTTGCTTGTACCTGTCCATAGCGAAGATCCCGAAGGGGTACATGGATGGCCGAAGATTGGTGATGAACTCGCCACCAGTTCTCCCGGCGGCAGTGGCAGCAACTTGCTATTGTTGGTTGAATGATTTTATACTGTAATTGTAATTTATTATAAACTGTAAAGTTTTGTAATGTATCTCGTTTTGGGTATATATACAATACATATTTCATGGATTTTCATTAATTTCAAGATTTCAGTATAAGTATATTTAAAAATATGAAAAAGAAGCCGAAAATAAAGCTATTTTAATATGCTTTTAGAGGCAAATATTAGTGCCTTTAAATCTAAACATGAAGTATAGCAAAAAAGTGGTTCTAGCGGCTTATACATTAGTCCCAATATCACTAATCAACGACAAATAATATATGTCGCTACTTCTGCCTCTATAGAGCTATAGCCACTAGAGTATTTGAGGCAAATATTTTATTTGCCTCTAAAGATGTATAGAGACAAATAAATGACATCTAGAGGCAAATTTCCTCTGTTGCTATAGATAGGTTTTCTTGTAGTGGCAGTTAGCTAAGCGATGTTTAATCTTTTCCTGGCTTATTAACTTGACACCTTAAACGTACTTGCTTGATCAATCTCTCACACGATAGAGAGACATGCTTAAGTTCATCATGCTTAATTAACTTGAGAAGTTTGAGCTTAGTTTAGGTGATTTCCCACGCAAATAGGAAGTTATAAACTTTTAATATCTAGCACTTGACTATAGTTTAGGATTGAACTTATATTTGCTTGGCTTAAAACGTAGTTCAATGATACTATGCATAAAGTAAAACCTAAATGTGAACAAATTAACTTAACATGAAAGCATATAAGAAATAACTAAAACATTAAACAAGAACTGAAATGCATAACATGAACTGAAATGTATAGACCAATAACAAAACTACTCTAGCCCCTTTAACCACTCATCTCATGTATTCAATTTCACTAACTTGAATTTCCCGCCATCTCCTCCAAGTGCAAGTGGGAAAGTTCCAAGTCATTCTTTTACCCCACTCTCTTACTCTATATCATATGTGTTCATCTATTGTTTGTTGGGTCTACATCTATTGCCAATTAGTTCTCTAATGTTAGGTTTTCTGTATTAATTGACTACTAAGTTTTCATCTATTGTTCATTGGTTTCCCTATTGCAACAATTACCCATATCGAAATACTATCGACGAAATCATAAGTTATCCTCTTCCACCTAGGCTTTTATATATTAATATTAATTAATTAATATATAAAAGTCTAGGTTTGAGTTACTATTCATTAGTGGCTCTCACACTCCTCCAAGTGAAAGTGGGGAAGTTCCAAATCATTCTTTTACCCCACTATCTTACTCTATATCCTATGTGTTCATCTATTGTTTGTTGGGTCTACATCTATTGCCAATTAGTTCTCTAATGTTAGATTTT